GTAGTTTACCAGTTTCAACGGGTTCAGACGGAGATTGATCGATACCTGAACCTGGTTCCCTTGATTTCCATTGTCCACGACTTCCGAATGCAGGTACTTATCCATTCTCCTGTTTAGCTACCATAGATTCTCATATGTGAAATTTCACCTTCTATTTGGCCATAGTATTTGGCAAACATATTTCATCTTTTTTAGAAAAATAGGACTTATACCCATAAGATTTAAAAACTATAACAACTAACCATACGTTCGTGTTACAAGTCAATTGGATCTTCGAAGCAACAAATAACAAGTAGTATTCATGACACCGGAGAAATGTGATAGTTTGGAGTGAGCGAAACAAACATCATTCCATACATCGTGAAGTAGACAAAACATTTGATTGTTCATTATTTTCATCAATAACCATGTCATCACTTTCATAGTCACCGAATATTTTATCACTATTTTGGTGTTTACGTAAAAATTATGTAATACAATGCAAACAATTACTATGGGGGTGTTTTGTAAAAGATAAAAATTTACTGTAAAATTTTAATTTTTAAGAGATCCCAAATAATGAGATTTGACCCAAATATTATAAAAAAATTAGTATTTGGAAATTTGCCAAATAATGTCAAATTATATGGACAGACGCTATTGCCAATTTTTTCCCCAAATATTACTTGGGAAATCTATGGCAAAACGGTGCCTATTATCACAAAAACATTTAATAGCAGTTGAGTTAATGTCAATGCATTTGGAGTCCCTAAAGCCCGCTTTAGTGACATTTATATAGATTATTGATTATAAATACTCATATTATATTATAGCTACTAAATATAATATAGTGGCAATTAGATAATATAATTGCCACAAAATCATTTATTTGTTGTAATGGAACTACTATTTTTCCTCACTTGAAGTGCTTGATAAGTTCCCAAAACTCCTAAGATGGATCATCACACTATGTAGAGCATCATTTATTTTGAGCTTTGAAGCTGTAACATTTTGTTCATATCAATCCAAAATCTGTTGTAGCTTGATGTGGCTGACTCTTTGGCACTATTTTGAGGAGAAATCTTTTATGTTATGCATCTTAGTAATTTTAATTAGCTTTTATATCAGTAAGTTTACTTTCTAGGAATTTCTGTCATGATTTTCCAACACACATCCTTCTATTTGAGGATTCTTGCCTGTTGAACACAATTTTGTTTTCTTCTTATTTTGGACTGTTATGCTTGTGCACTAGCTCTCAATAATCTGGAGCACTTTATCTAAGTCAGAAGTTTCACGAACTTTTCTTCGACATCAAAATCATCTTTGTAATAATGTCACAGGACGTGCATGAAAGCTTGGAAGCTGTTGAAGGTGATTATCATTGTGAATACACTCTAGACAAAGAGGATATTGAGGCCCACAGAGCAGTACTGAAACCTGATCGATCAAAGAAAGATGCAAATGTATTAGAGAAGTCACTATCTAGAAGATATCCTGATTTGAGATTCCATGAGGCTCTCGAGGAGGAGAAGGAGAAATTACATCTTGAACTGCACCTCTCACAGGCAAACAATGATCCCAAGCAGTGCAGAATCATTGAACATCTTATTGATGTGACTCAAAATGTAGTTAATGTGCCAGATGAAAAGTTTCTTGCCCTCAGCGCACAACCTTACATAAGAACTGGGTAAAGTTTTATGTAACACACACTAATTAAGTACTCGGGAATTGTTCCAGCATGTTCAGTCTACTGAAGAACTAATTTCATGCCACAGGTTGGTATCAGCTGCAAAAGTTGGCCAGGTGCAGATGGTGAATGTCTCGCAGGCTGAACATCAAGAAAAATCGAAGTGGCAAACTGACCTCTTTGACTGTTGCAGTGAACCCTGTTTATGTGAGCTCATAGAACTTCTTATTCTTATAAATTCCTTAATCCATAGGAAGTTTATCCTTTCCTGCATTTGTACTTTCTTATCCATCATATGGTAGCAATTGTACTACTGGAAAAGGTCAGCTGTATCAACCACTTAATTTTTCGGTTAATTTTGTTCATAGGTCATACGTAAAATTCTCAAGCATAAAGTTAACATATGTTAGTTTAGTTCCACTTTATCTGTTGATTATGCTTATCATGAATATCAATACCAAATTATTGCTTTTCTACTCCTGCCACTAAATTCAAATACCTCTCTTCTCATTCTCTTTAAACAGGTTTTAAAGCGTGCATCTACCCATGTGGCATATTTTCAAGAGTTGCTAGTTTGGTTTCGCATGGGAAGATAAGTAAGTGTCACTGACACATTGTCTACTAATTTACAAGTAAGACCAAGTTCTTCTCTTGATTATGTTGTTAGCTGATACTTGTAGCAAAGCCAGAAATTTCATTAAGGAGATTCAACTTTTATGAAAATTAAGTTATATCATGTTTTCCTTTCAAGTCAAGGGAATTCAAACCTTGTATTTATCATATATTTTATTTATTTTTGGCTCAAAATACATGTAAATAAATAAATAAATAAATAATTGAGCAAGGGGTATCCTACGAACCCCCTTGCTTGAATGTGGCTCTGCCCATTGACCGGAACCCCTAGCTAGAGGAACTTCTTCCTTATTTCTCAATACTCCTGAAATAATGCCAGTTTCTTTTGAGGAGTAGAGAGCGAGTGATATTTGTTAGTCCTAAACAATAAAACGACAACAACAACATATTAAACAGTGTAATCCCACAAGTAGGGTCTGAGGAACATCTAAATTAACATGAGGGACAAACTGGCATTTAGCACAGACTAATGGTGACCTGCTCTTGTATTCTGTTGATCTATCTACTTGTTTATTAACATGTAAAATGGTTCCTTCGGGGGGATATACTGATCACAGACTCTTACACGTTGTTGCTGCAGCTCGTGAACATGCACTGAATGATCTGTTGACATACTCCTTATTCTGTGGTTGTTGCTGTTATACTTGTTGTGTAAGAAGAAGCCTGAGACAACTTTTCAATATTGAGGTATTTAATTGTATCACTTTTCCAAATGTTTGAAGATTATATGTCATTCAATAGTCACTTAAGTTAAACGTTCCACTTACATGCCTTCCAATAGATATTGCGGTGCATAAGGCATTCTATGTTTACCGGAGTTACCTCGGTTTTATTTGCCATAACAAGATGGTCAGTGCACCAGAACAGCATGTCCATTTTTGGGGCATGAGGTAATCCTAGAGAAAAAGAGATGGTTGTGAGGTGACGAATTGCTTCAGAGACGTGGATTGAGCAACTACTAGATTCAATTGAGTAGGAACTGATGTGTCTAGCCATTGTTACCATTTTGTATGTTCAAGGCATTTGCTTCAGAGTAGGTGGGGCAAAAACAATAAAAGTATATCGGCTGTTGATTGATAACAATATAATTTCACTTGTTCTGTTTTCAGGGAGGTTCATGTGATGATTTCTTAACTCATCTGATGTGTTGCTGTTGCGCTATGATCCAAGAGTGGCGTGAACTCGAACTGAGGGACTTTAAAGGTGCGTTTTATCAGTACTATTCCCTCGTGAACCTGGAAACTAAAATTTTCTTATTGCACTTACTAATCATTATCCAATAGAGTGAAACATTAGGCATCACAATGAACAAAGAATGAACAAGATCAGGAAAAACACACGTCAAGGTGTATGACAAAAGATTATGATGTTTTCGTCCTCTCCTTTTTTGGGATTCAATATAGTGAAGGAAACAGATAGAGAGCATGCATGTATTTAAATCCTATTTTTTCGGAATTCTTCAACTAAGATGAATGTTGTGCAGGTTGTCAAGGGAGGAAGATGATTCCACCTCCATACCAGTATATGAAGCCTTGAACTCGTCGACTGATGTGGAAATCTTTCTACTGGTGTAAATATTAGTATTAGATAGAGCTTTACGAATAGTATACATAAAGTTTTTGTAGATGTGTATAAGCTTCAAACTAGTATAACTTCATAAATCCCGTAATATAAGGATCTAAATTTTACATTATATTTCTACTCTTTTTCAATTTATAAAAATCCCTCAAAATTATTGTTATCCGGATACATAATAAAGAACACAGATATCGGGATATGTGAGTTTCACAAATTACGCTAATTTAATTAATTTCAATTTCTACCAAATCTTAAAAGATTCAATCAATCGAAAATTCAAATTTTCTTCTTTCAATTCTCTTCCAAATCCGCCCATATTAAATACAAAATTTAAATTTTATTCTCGCAATTCTATTCCAACTCCGTCTAGTTTCAAACAATTCACATTTCTTCTTTCAATTCTCACCCAAATCGTAATAGATTGAAAAAAGTCGAAAACAATAATTGATTTTACTGGTATGTGTATCTACAAATTTGGATAATTAAAACATTGGTCAATGGATGAATCAACTAATGTCTATCCATTGTTAATTGTGCTCTCATGTTATAGTATTCAGGCTCCTCTTGAATGCTTATGCAAAGATATCAAATTTCTCAAATATTAGTGGCACCATATTTGGAAGGAAAAAATGAAAGAAATATTTTAAAATTCAGGCCAGCCCAGATGTGAATTTTTGCAGTGGGAGGGGCAACATCACTTGATTCTGCCTACTTATTGGATAACTGAGTTGGTTAAAAAGATATGATATCTTCTTTTTGCAAATTTTTTTCAGGTAATAGCCCTGGATCGTCCATGTTGGTGCTATGAAATTATTCATGTGTATTCGCTACACATTGAAATAATGTATCACAAGGTTGAAGAGATACATAGCTTTGATGGATACATGTTTGTGTGGTTATTGTTATGTAACAGAAACATTTAGTATAAATTCAAATTAAAGTATCATGTCTAAAAATTTAGTGCATGATATATTACTATTTATATATCTTATTTTGTTTGAGAAATATTGTATTTTATAAAAAAGGAATATGATACATATAATTATTCTAGATAACATCTTTTGTGTGGGATGCATAAAACAATAGTGATCAGTTGATACATATAATGATATATGTAATAAAGTTTGTAAAACTGTTGAATTTGGTATATATTGCATATCATGCACCTATCAATTAATTTGATACACAATGCTTTGGCTACAGAACAGGCTACAGAACATTAAGGTTTATCATCAACTGTATTTGTTGAGATTGATACATTATTGTTTGGTAATTGTTATGTATCAGATACATTTAGTATGAATTTGAATTTACATTCACGGCTAAAAAATTAGTGGATGATATATTATTATCTATGTACCTTATTTTGTTTGAGAAATACTATATACATGTAATTGTTCCAAATAACATATTTTTTGGTGTGTGATACATAATACAAAGTTTATGTATCAAGTACCATTGTATTGAACATGATAAACACCAGTGGCGGAGCCATGATTTTCAATAAGGGGGTTCGAAATTCGTAGAAATAGACGCACGGAGTAGCCAAAGGGGGTTCGACATCTAATATATATACATAAAATATTATTTTAACCTGTATAAATATTGTACCAAGGTGGCTCCGCCCCTGATAAACACTAATCAAAGATTCAACAACATTAGAGTTATGTATCAATACCTTATATATGAACATGATATATCAGATCAATGATAACAATAAAAAAAGACTAATTTAAGAATCAAAATAAGCGAGATACATTGAAAGTAAGCAAAAAAATTAAAAGATCGAACCAACGGAATGAAGTGTATCAAGACCGCCATTAGAAATTCCTGAAACCATTTCAAATGCACTCCAAGATGAACTATGTGCATTAATAAGGTTTCTCCACCTCTCTTTCATAAAGAGAGATCGAAAGTAAAAATTAGTAATTTTTTAAGATGAAAAAATAAAAAAATAAAAAAAATTGAAGTGGATGAAAGAAATCTACCTCTCGAATAACTTGAAGTCTTTTATTGGAAAGAGAAGATTTGAAATTCAAAAATAGATTAATGGAAGTAACTGTAGAGAGATTTGTTGAGTGAAAAAAGTAAGGAAAATCATAGTTAAGAGATTTCAAAAATCAAAATAATGTATCTGGAAAAAAAAGAAATGATGAGAGCAAAAAAGGGGATTTTAATATTTTTTGAAATAGTAGGGAAAATAAGAAAAATATGATAATAAATGATGTGTAGTTAGATAATTTTTTCTAAGTACTTGCATAGCTCATCTTCAAACCAGCTACCAGATAACCCTTAAAGTTTAATCGGGGCAACCTTCAAATTTCTTATTTTGGGTTTCTTCTTGCAAAGATATTAAAACTCAATTTAAAAGTGATTAGTGTCAAAAATACCTTAAGCTATTTTTAAAAATACACCTAAATCATATTTAGTTATTAGAAAATGTTTGATGAGAATGGTTGCTTGAGGATCATTCCTCCTGAGGGTGTCTTTATATTTGTAGAATTTTCTTAGCCACTTTTTATGAAAGTCGAAAGAAGATCTAATCTATTTTCAGAAAAATGACTCTTTTGAATATCCATCTTATTACGTGAACAAACTTGACGAAATTAAAATATAAAATAAAACTTTCAATATACAAAACCTTCAATTCTGTTTTGCTTTCCATTGTAAGATAATCTCACTTCATATATATTTACAAATTACCTACCACATAAAATATTAATTGTTATGAATCAGCTCCTGTTCAATAATGACACTAACAAGTTGGGATGTCAAATGGGCGAGTTGATTAAAATTGAGGATATTAAAATGGGTTGAAATAGAAGTCGGGTTGGGTCTTGACACGCCCAAATTTACTTTAGGCTCAAATTGGTTGGGTTTAAATGACCTAAATAACTGGCTGAATTTTGACCCACTCAATTTAACCCTATAAATCTTAACAAACCAACATATTGATATTTCACTTTTCTAATCACAATTTGAATCTTGTCTCAATAATATTTTTTGATAAAGTAACAAATGGATAGATAAATCATAAAGGATGTCAAATAGATAATAATTCATATCTGCAATATAGATACATATCTTGATAAAAGTTTTAAAAAGAATTGAAATTGGAAATTGAATCGGGCTTAATAGAGGATCCTCTTTAAATAGATTAGGCTTGAATGAGTTGAGATTGAACTCAATTCAAATTATCTTGAGTCCAACCTTTAAAATTCTGAACAGTTACCTATGTTTGGGTTGATTTTTGACGCCCCTACTAACAAGTATATCACATGGATAGGTATTGGTACAAGTAGACCCGATACAAGCAACAAGATCAGGCCTTTACAAAGGATAATTTGAGATCCACACTGAAGGCATTGTTAAATAGAACATGGCATTAATATGAGAGGGCATCGTATGAATTATGTGCAATGGCAATTTGATGTTTCTCATCCCAATATAGTCTAAGCTTTTCATCTTTATTCATATCTATATTCTTAGTTACTTGTTATTTCAGTATTTTCATTAGTAAATTGATTATTGAAATTAAAAACTTAAAATTGTAACAGTGTTTTAGTGCCCTTATTAGTATAGTGAGGATTTTTGGTTTGTTACAATGATATGATTTATCAATTTTCTTTAGAATAAGAAAACATTACATGTGCTTAGCACATGATTTAATTGATAATCAGTTGTGGTTTTGAGTTGTTATTCAAAGTTTGCAAATAAGATCCATATTCGAATAGTACAAAACAGAACGCACAGGCAAAATGGCTTAGTTTAATATGGTAGGGTTTTAAAAGGTTGGTAGCCAACTCATTTAGGTTGGGTGGATCAGAAGATAAAAATAGAAGTTTGAATCTGGCTATTCTTAGTCATACAAAACTACATTACTATATTATGAAATAATATTTTGGGATAAGACACAAAGTAAATTTTAAATTAAGATTGAAATTTCAGAAACACATTATCTTGAATTAATAGCTTCCACTACTTGAAACTCTCTCTCTTTCTCGGAGATGACTTGAATCCAACCTCCATTTTGTACAAGACACATTACTAAATTTGCATTTCATGTACTTTTGTCTTAGTCATACTAAAACTAAAACTTTAAGCTCGAAAATCTGAAATCTTTGATTATGTAATTTCGATATTATCATTATATCTTTATGACATAAAAAGAACCCTTGTCTTCAAGAATTTTATTGAAGTTTCATTTTATTAAAAAAAGAAAAAAGTATTCCTAAATCTAATTAAGTCAAATATATATATTTCGAAAGAGTTTAAAGATGCAATCTTGAATGGTGCAAATTGAAAAGAACATATTGAAAATGAAAGACTTTTGAACCCCTTGATATTATTTACTTGCACAAATTGAAACTAGACCATTACCGCTAAAGTGAGTTACTGTATTGCAACATTTATCTTCTCTGTTTTATTCTCACGGTAAGTGAAGTACCAAACTTATCTTATTGTTTCTTGTCATGCTCTCTTTAAAAGTTAATTTAATTAATTTTTAAAGTAAAATTAGATTACATTGATTTGATTTTTAAAAAGTAAATTTATGATATTAAAAAATTATAAGAAAGATACTATAAATTTCAATTTTTTATATATTTATATGATAAAAAAAAATATCATAAAATGTTAGTTAAAATTACTATTATTTCATTCTAAATAGAAAAATTATGACAATTAAAAGTAGACGAATATTATATTTTTACTTTAAGAGGTACTTTCTTTTCCACCCATTATACATCATACAAAATTTTATTAGAAAAATTACGAGTGCAAAAAAGAATACCCTTATTTGACATCACTCCAAATATACATTTTTTTTAAAAAAAAAGAAACCTTAGATTCAATCTCCCATCTCAAATGGTGGCATATGACACAATAATTTCTTCAAGTATGGTCCATCAAGGTAATTGTTTTTATTTGTACTTTTTCCAAAATAAAGGTGGGGGCTGATTAACGGCTGTCATTAGCCCTGGTCAAAAGATTATTACTATCATTTTTAATTGTTCTAATAATATTACATTCTGAAATTATCTTAACCATTAACTTTGAATGGACACGTGGCAGCAATCCAGAGTTTCATTAAACATTATAGGAGTCGGGAAACTCTTAAGCTAGTATTTGATAATAGATTTTCAAATATTATTTGGACGAAAATTTAAGTAAAATTTCACCATGTGTTTAGTCATAGTATTTGAGAAATATATTTCACTTTTTAAAAAAAATATGATTTATACCCATAAGTTTTAAAAATATCAAAACTAATCATAAATTTGTATTACAAGTCAATTTGATCTTTGTTATGACAATAACAAGTAGTGTCCATCACACTAGAGCAATGTAGTAACTTTGAGTGAGTGCAACAAGTATCATTTCATATATCCTAAAATAGAAATAACATATGACTTTGTTATCTTAAGCCGATTATTCATCATTTTCATCAAAAATCATATTATCATTTCACATTCACCGAATATTTCATCACTATTTTGAAATTAATGTAAAAAATTATGTAATACAACGTAAGCAACAACTATAGAGGATGTTTTTGTAAAAGATAAAAGTTTGGATGAACTTTCATTTTTTAAAGATTCCAAATAATGGATTTGGCCCAAGTACTAGAAAAAACTAATATTTGAAAATTTAAAATATTTGCCAAAAATATTTATCAAACAATGACAAAGTGTATGAACAAACACTATTTATTAAAATTTTCTTATATATTATTTGGGAACTCTATGTCCAAACGTAAATTAGAAGAGATCCATTATTATCTTTATAATAATTATAAACGCTACGTTGTTTATAAAGTTATTCTTGTGTAATAATTATTGGGAAATTTAGCTAACTAGTCAAAAAATTAACTTATTTAGTGATAATATCCATACTTTGATAATATAAGTAAACATGTCAAAAATGTCATTATTTTAAAAATAAATAATTATTCTGATATAATTAATATTTTCTCTCTCATTATTTACACTTTTTTTCTCTCTCTCATAGATTACACATTTTCGTATATTTATGTAATTGGATAGATATTAATGTCATTTAATTTTTCTCTCTATTTTCTTAAACTTATCAATTTCTCGCTCTTACTTTCTTCCTAATCAAATCCCCAGATTTTCTCTCTCTTTTCTTACGCTTCTTTTCAATTTCTCTCTTTAATATTCTTCCAAATCAATTCCACAGATTTTCGATTCAATATATTAATATTTTCTATTATTCTAATTTAATTTCGTTGCAAGATTTGATTTGAAGATTAATATTGATTTGGGTATTATGTTTTTCAGATTTCTTATTTACTTACTGATTTTAGTATATATTTTTTTAATTTTTTTGTTTTGTTTTTGTTCTTAAAATATTTTTTAGGATTTGAGACTACACAATTCTCTCTTCAATGGACATTTTCAAAAGAGTTACTAAAGGTATTGGACAAAATAATTAATGTTCTTCCGATTTTTCATCATTTAATTTTTTTTTTCACTCAAGAATTAAACAACAATGTAGACTCCACTTCTAAATTTAAGGAGGATATACGACGGAAAAAAATGTCTGAATCCGTCGATATGCAAAATCCAACACAAATTCATAACCATGAAGTTGAAGAAGACCAATTTGTTGGATAAGAGGTATATTTTTTTTTTGCATGTTCTGTGTCTTGCATGTTTAATTTAATTTGTTTAGTAATTTTTAAGATTAAAAAAAATTCATGTTACAATGCGTTTGGAAGTGTATATGAAATTTTTATTATGTTATAGTTAGTACTTATTTTTGTATTTCATATATTTATTGTATTTTGTGTTCTTTTTTTTTTTGTGTGTGTATATTAGTTATGTTAATGTAACACATTATATGAGTTTGATTGTGTATATTTTATAGTTTTAATGCTTTTTGTATTCATAGATTTGGAAGTGTATATTGAATTTTGTTGTTGTTTTAGTCAGTATGTATTTTTGTATTTCATTGTTTTATGTATTTTGTATCCATAGATTTGGAATTGTATTTCATATATTTATTTCATTTTGAATTCTATTTTATTTTTGTGATAGTTATGTCAATGTACCATAGTTAGTATTTATTTTTATATTTCATAGTTTTTTGTTTTTTGTATTCATAAATTTGGAAGTATATATTGATTTATGATACTGTTTTAGTCAGCATGTATTTTTACAATTAATAGTTATATTCATTCAAAAATTATGTTACATTGTTTCTGAATTTGATATTTTTTTTCTAATTTGTATTTATTCTAAAGGTATGTCAACTAGTTATGTATTTTATTTAAGAATGAGTACACCAAATATTCAATTATTTCTTTTCAATTTCACATTTCATTCACTTTTTCATTATACTAATTCTTTGTACTTTGTATATTATTATACAATATTCTAAATAAAAAACTAGAATAAATAGAAATACAAATAAAATACATATTAAATGAAAACGTACAAGATTTTTGAAGAAAAAAATAACTATATAGGAAAAAAAATATGAATACAAATATATTTCTTAAATAACTATATAGATACATTCGGCATACCTATTGGAATGAATACAAACTAATAAAAAATTATAATAAATATAAATAGAATATATTGTGAAATGAATATAATTTTAAAAAGATAAAAATTCTGGAGAAAAAAAAAGAACAAAGTTTAAATTTTATTTTAAAATGTAACTGATGAGAAAATTAAGTGATCCTTACCTTTTTTTTGAAATATTCTCTCCCTTAATTTTCTCCCTTTTGTTGTTGAATAATTATATTCTTTAAATAAAATAATAAAAAATATAAATAACATACATAACAAATTAAAATTTGACATTTAAACTAAATATTGAAAGTGTTGCTAATGAACCCTCTTAAATGTTAAAAATGGCATTTTAAATTTTTTTCCATAATTATTTAAGTATTTCTTTTTGACCGTCTTTGTTGAAATAGAACCTCTGGGAAAAATTTTTTCTCTGAAACCTCAATATTTATTAATAATATTTTTGATTCTTTATACCAATAATAAGTCTAGAATTTCTTTTTCTAAATATTTTAAATTTAACTCACCAATAACCTCTTATGACAAAATATTATGGAAATAGGCGAATGAAATTAAATCGTAAATTGAGAAAAGAAAATTTGATTAGTAATTTGGTATTGAATGAAAAAAACTCAATTATATTGGATTAATTTGGTTATAACTTTAAAAGGTTAATATGAAATCAAATCAACTCGATATCATATATATACTTTTTTTAAAGTATTTTATCTATAAAATATTTATTTTAATATAATTTATAATATTTTTATAATTTTTCATCTTTTACCATATTATTTAAAGTTTGAGTTAGAATTTTGAATAGTACAGTAAATGCTATCTTCCACAGAAATTAGTAATTCTAATAAAGCCCAAATCAAAATCAAGTCAATACTATTGTAACAAGAAAAATCAACTCATATATACTAAAAATGACAATAATATTAAATATTTCTTCTTTAGTTATATATTGGTTTAGACTTATTTCAACATGATTTACACTTATCATGTTCATTTGGATTTATTTATTTGCAATATTTGTTTTATATAATTTTATTATTAATTTATTGAATATTTTAGTATTATCACTCATTTCATATTTTGTATTTTTTTAAAAAAAAATTTAGATAATTATATTTTGATGAGACCACAAAATTATTTGAAATACAAATTAATTATATATTTATATAAATACTTTATAAAAAATATCTGAAAAAATTCAAAAATATTTTAACGTTGAAGGACCCAAATTTATCAATTTAATTTGGTTTATAGATTTGAAAGTTCAACATCAATAATTTCATATTTAAAAAAATTCGAAGCAGACCCCTACTTCCATTTTGAAATATATACTCTCCCTAGACAATTTTTAACTCACTTATGACAAAATATTATGTGAATATATTTTAAAATATATACTCAATTTCTCCCTTCCTCCGCTGACATGATATTATTCGGAACAAGACGAATGTTGTGCACTCCACATAAAAACAGGACAATGTTCCTTACTCCACAGTCCACACAAACAACCCACATGACTTCAAATTTATTATTTTAATAAAATATTCTATACCAAAAATAATTCCAATATCGTAACATAAAATTCTTTTAACATGCTAGGTTGATAATATATTTCTTAAAGGATTATTTTTTGATGAAAAGTTTTATCTTTGTTTTATATAAAAAAAAATAATAGCTTTTTCTATAAATATGATAAACTCACAACCGCTATAATATTTGTCATACTTAATAAGCCTTTTGAATGAATATTTTGTACGCACCGAATAAATCTCACAATATTATAATGGATAAACACTATATAACATAACTCAACTCAGAAAACATGATAAAAAAAAA